TATTTACATGCAGAAGGAAGTAGCTATCGGCTAAATATTACACTAGCTGCCTCTCACTCAAGAATGATTCTCTGAAAACAAAAATAGCCACTCTCTAAACATTGACAATAGGAGCCAATCTCACACTAAGCTATTTTCTAGGTATGTTATAGAACTTTGTAAACTTCATATCTTCTGAAAGTTTCGACACGATCGAATAAATTCACCAAGAAACAAATCTGTTACCAAGTTACAATTGTGACACACATATTTTTACCTTGTTTCTGAGGGATTTTATTCATTCAGCATAGAAAACTGGCTTCTTAAGTTTCAATGTAAGAGATATTAAATTTTGGTATTACCAGAAATGAATACGTTCTTTTATGCTTTCCATAAGTCAGATTTGATGAAATTAAGCAACACCAAAAACAACATCACCCTCATATTCTATTTAGGTAGAGATATATATACGTCATCAGGATTTTAGATTGTCACATTTGGTACAGCTGAGACCTTGCCAGTCAGTTAGCAATGTCCTCTAGTGAGTGTTGTTTTATCCTATAAATTGATTGACTGAAAAAGCTATGTCTCATGTCTATGAAAAGAACTTCATCCCGGTCATATGATAGAGTTTGATTGTTTAGAATTGAGCAATATTGTGCTCATGTTTCACAGAAAACAAGACATTGAACCTCTGATAATGTGTATCCATCGACTGGAGTTTTCCACACAGTACTGATGAAAAATTCCGGTTTTTTGTCCTGTAGCAGAAAAACATCAATCCCGTTTCTGATATTTGTTTACGCTGAAATGTCAATTGTTTTGAAATATGGATAAAGCATGGTTGTTGCAATTGTAACCGTGTGACATGGCTGCATCTTGAATAACTCATCGAATTAAGCTAAAACTTATAAAAGATACACAAATTCATCGAGCTGCAATCATGGAAAGGATTTCGTATTGAACTAATGATATTTTATTTTTATTTTATATGAAAATACGACTAACGACGAATATACGATATTAAGCAAATATGTGCCGTGATTATCCGAATCTGAAGCTTTTGCTAATCATTGTGGGACTCGTTACACCAATCATTATTGTTATTCTATCAACTCTTGGATTTTTCTCAAAGGTTAAGGTTTCAAAGATAATAACGACCAGCACTTTAGGTATGCTGCCACATTCATTCTGGGAACTATTTGATACTGATTCGAAATAATTTCATCAAGTATAAATGTTCAATCGCATAAATATTTCGAAAAGGCTTCTAACCAAATACTGTGTTTATCAGACGAAAAATAAAATGAGAATTGCTATCGTTTTTAAAATTTGCAATTAACATTCACTAGAAGCAGATGCAAAAAGTTTTTTACCACTTATCTTAGAGTTACTTCTTCAGCGGGCTTGTGTAAGAAATAATATGAGCGGAACTCAAGGAATCGATGACTTTGAAATATTTGATGAAAATATGACTGTCAACGAACATCGAAGCCAATTCCTGTAACACGAGACTCTGCCAAGTGATACAAATATTTTACTTTTAATTATACCAAAGAGAAAAGACAATATTCATTCTTTTTGGACTTTTCTCATATGAAATGAGTTATTCTTTTTTTGTTTTTAGTTTCAACTTCCGGCTATCTGTCGACCAGCACTACAGAATCAATATCAAGTGAGTTTTGATCCATTTTTCTTCTCCATTCTTAGTGTTTCTGTACTCAATAGTAGAATGATGAGTTTCTTGAAAAGAACATAGACTCTGAGCATATTGAAAATATCTTTTTCAACTTTTAACTTCATCTTTGTGCAAAACATAACAAAAAAATAATAGGTAGATACAGCTTTCTCATTGCTCAAATAATGATCATATGAAGTTATAGTGATTAGTATTGAATCAAAGACGAATATATTCTTCCAGAAACAAGACAGTTTATCAACCTCATTTTCTTTCTATCATAACATGAAGTGCTTATTACTCTGTTTTAACAATAAGATCGTAGTGGTAAGAACAGAAATCCGGTGGTGATGGCTCAGTCTCAGTGGAGGACTTAGCTTCCACTTGGCTCTGCCGCCGGATATAGTCAAGTTTTCCATCTACACAAGCTGGCGTAAGCCAAAGTACATTTCGAAAGTTTTTCGTTGATCACAGAATGATCAGCAAAAGCCTCTTTTTCGGTTCTTTATTCGATGAATATCATCTTATTGAACTCGAAGTAAACATATATTGCTATCCTAGAAATCTTAGTCACTTTTATTGATTCTTATATGCAAATATGCCGTACAAAATAATCTCGAATATATCTCTTGCAGCAAGTGAAACATCATCGTTATGTTCAACACCATGTACAGATAGACAAATCTGTTTCAATGACACTTGTTTGTACACGGGAAATCTAGCCATTACAATCATTTGGTCACGACCTGGCAACTGTGATCTTGATGTGCAAACTCCCAACCGTTGGGAAGTTTTTCCAATGTATCCAACCGAGCCAACAGAATACACAGACTATGGTCAAATGGATGTAACGAGTGAACTTACCGGACCAGAAAATGCCTTTTGGGATGTTGATCATCAAACTCCTCAGGGCTTGTATCATATCTGCTTAGAGGTATTCTTCTTCGATGGTGTTGTTGATGAGAACAATCCACTTATTGCGAACGTCTTTGTTCGAAAACCGTCGAGGAATACGGAAACTTTTACTCGTACATTTATGAACCGAACAGATGGAATATATATTTGTAATATCAATTCAGTTGGATACATTGCATCTATCGCTTATCCTTGAAAATGTTTCTTTTGTTGATATTCAGATGCTTTTTTTTGTAGCATATCTCTTTATGATCTTCTTGCTTTTCACAGAACATGGGACCTGAACTTTAAATAATTTAAATAAACAGACTCGACTCTAGCAAAAATCTATGGTTTTTTCACACTAGAACCTTGATAGACACAAACATAATTCTGCAAGAATTTGCGTTTTTTTTCTGAAGAAAGCTTATAATCACTAAATTTCAAGATTCTGAGCAGTTCACTGCTATATTAAAAGTCAGTACTATGTTCAGAAGACCATAGATCTTAAAAGAAACAAGTAGCCATGAAATGTAAAAGATTTCGATAGGAGTTCAAAACAAGATTTTAAAAGGATGTTGACCAACTTTCTATTGCTTTTAGATCAGGGTTCTGTCAAGCTCCCAATAATGCCTAATTGAAAAACTAATTGCTGTCTACGTCTTGTAGGATTGTCTAAAGAATATAAAAGAGAAATGAATCCATAGAGTATCAAACTCTGGACCTTCATCTTGTCAGACTAGATTATGCCGTGCTACTATACATAATTGCAAGCCTCTGTGTGCAATATTTCGATTGAACTTGATGTGAACAATATTCTCTCAAAAATTTCATGAAAACAACCAGTGCAATAACTAAATCGAAACTAATATCCAATTTCATTAGAAGTTTTTAAAAGATCTTGCCGAATGCTCTCTGTTTCTTTATCGAAAGATCAAAGTATGATCAGGATAAAATCCTGGTGGACTTCTCAGTTCTGTCAAATTCGAAACAATACATAATAATAACTTGAAAAATTCTTCCATGTGACTTTCACAATTACAATTTTGCTCAACATTCATATTAAAATTTGTGTTATAATTCAAAACTTTAGAAATTTTAAGCAGATTTTGCCCAAAAGCCAGTTACAATCTTGATGAAAATATTTGCCTTCATATATGTACAGATTCTGAACAGTATCATTTAGAAATCTTGATAGGATAATGAAAATGAAATTCAAAATATACTTTAAAAGCAAACCTACAAACATCTAAACTAGGTACTTGTATTTTTCCATTAGGATTCTGTCCATAAATGCAATTGCCGTCTAAGGATCCGGCAACGATTGATCTTGAACAATTCGAATCAAGATCCTCGTAGAAACTTGGCAGAACTTTTTCGATTAGGGTTGTGAATAATCTTTGTTTATCCAATTCTTGAGTGGTTATTCGTATCAGAATATAGAACAGATTTCGATTAAAGGTTAATAACATTTTAATAAAATAGTTTATATTCCATTTTATTTATCGAACTTTCATTGAGATTAAATGCATGCATATATCATACATTTCTTTGTATTGCTAACGGTATAGTGCACATAGGTTTGTCATTGTTTTTATTCAAATAATTAATCGTAGATATTTGATACTTATGTAAACTATTTTCAAATTAGATGCAATTATTAAAGAATTGAATGATCAATGGCCTAAAGTACGGTTGAGTTTAGTTTTATTAAGAATGTGTAATAACAATAGAAATAAATTTTAATTGATTCAAAAAGTATTGAGATCATTTATTGTGAGTCATGAGAAAAAGAACCGTCATAATATTCATACACTAAGTAACAACGAGCTACAAGTCACACTATCCAGAAAAAGATAATATTTCACCCGATACTCATATATAAGCATTGCGTTGGGTATCCATCTCGTTATTTATTGCTCACAGAGACGAAACGAAATATTAAAAAAAAACAGACAAAAAAATGATTGAATTCAATATTCATTCCTGCGGTGACAGTAAAATAATTTCAATTATTTACATAAATGACTCATCGAAAAAAAAGTCTTTTTTTGTTTCTTCTCACGCAATGAATCTCGAGAAGAACGAAACAAATAATGTTTATCAGTTTTATTTTTATACTGACTTTTTTTTACATCACTTGCGTTTTTACTCTCCATCATTTTATACTGCAGTAAAATCATAAGTTGAAATCATGTAAGTTGGAAAAAAAAGGAAATCTTTACAAATGAACGTTTCAATATGCGAATAGAAATGATTGGTAATTAGAACTCATTGAATCCAAAATTTCTGAAAGCAAATCATACTCCTAATTTCAGCGATTTTTTTTAGTCTGAATTTGATGATTGTTAATAAGGTTTTAAAATAATTTTTTGTTGAATTACAGTCAAGACTTCTTAACAATCTTTCTATTTATTTACTTTAGCATTACAAAGTACACAAAAGTAAGATGTGTGATTCACCACCAACAACGATACCATCTGTTTTAAAAATAAATAAACAATGCCCTCCAGATCAAGAAATAAATATTCTTTTATTGGGACAAACAGGTGTGGGAAAATCAACATTTATTAATTCTTTAGCTAATTATCTTGTTAATGATAATTTTGATGAAGCAATCCATGATGAAATGCAAGTCATTATTCCAACTTCATTTTATTTTACTGATCCAGAAACTTTTGAAGAAAAACTAATAAATATTGGTGACAAAAAAAATTCTAAAGAAATTAATGAAAATGGTCAATCATGTACACAGCAATGTAGAAGTTTTGTTTTTCCATTTGGTCAGCGAAATTTACGATTAATTGATACACCTGGTATGGGTGATACAAGAGGTTCACAACAAGATAATGAAAATTTATTTGAAATTTTAACATATATTTCTTATTATGAACATTTAAATGGTATATGTATTTTCCTAAAACCAAATGAAGAACGTTTAACAATAATATTTCGACTTATTATTAAACAAATTCTTCATTATTTAGAACCCAGTGTAAGTAAAAATATAACATTCATCTTAACAAATGCTCGATCGACATTTTATACACCGGGTAGTTCGAAAAAACTTCTTCAAGTACTTATAAATGAATATCATGATAAATATCATCTTGAAATACCTTTATCAAAAGACAATACATTTTTATTAGACAATGAAACACTTCGTTACATTGGATTGTGTAAAGCGGGAATACAAATCAATAATGAACAAATTCAAATTTATAAGAAAAGTTGGGATTATACTATTAAAGAATATGAACGTCTTATTATTTATCTATGTCAATGTCCACTTCATGCTGTTGCAAATACACTTTCTCTAAATTCAGCCGAGCAACTCATTAAACAACTTTCACGTCCAATTGCTGAAACAATAAGACTTATTCAACAAAATATTCAACTTGCTAATGAACATAAGCAAAAACCTTCGAAAAAAAAGACAAATGCTACACATAAATTACCTCAATATATTGCTAATATTGGGCAAATTATCCGCCCGAACTTGGTTTGTATTAGTAAAAAGTGTTTGCAACTAGTCGAGTCAGACAATCACCAAAAATTCATATACAGGCATATATGTCAAAAAGATCGCTATTTAGATGGTGTTATACAAGAAACTATAAATGATCCAAGAATACAAAAATCCAAAGTAATCAATCATGAGACAGGTAAGCTATCGAACTTTATTGAAAACTAATAAATACAATTATTATTCGTCATGAAGTCCAAAGGAGAAGCATGCAATAAATTTAAGCAATGTTTTTCTTTATTATTAACTCAGCTATGCCGTAGAATTCGTTTTTGAATTGAAACTTTTGGAATGTTTGAGAAAAATATAAATTCTTTTCATAAACAATCATCCAAAATTTAATTCTATTGACTATGTTGCTTTGTTTTGTTGTCAATTGAAATATAAGTTAACAAGAGTTTAAAATAACTAATGATAACTGTCGATACTTTTGGAAAAATTTTCAAAACGCATAAAATCAGTTCATCTGTTAGACTCACTTTAATTCGTACAAAGGTTTTTCAATTAGCAAACAAGCAAATCTTAACTGTATTAAAACCTATTTGAATACTTTAATATCAAATGTAACAAAAACAAAACAGAATATATATAAATGACTTAGTCAAAAATTCTTGAAATTTTTCAGTTTAAAAAGATTCATATCTTATGATTAAAAAAAAACTTATTATTTTGACTGAGCTTATTTAGGTAAATGTAGTGTATGTGAATGTTCTTGGAATCGTCATATGAATATTACATATGAATATCAAACAAACCTAACTTATGTTAATATGAACGATAACGCAAGTAGCAAAAACGATGATCATGTATTGATACAAAATATTCAAGGTTATATTGATAATTTACAAAAAGAACAAGAAATGATTAAAGATATTTACATGGAACTACTAAAATTTCTTTATGTCAACGCCATTCATCCATGTAATAATGATATTGTTGAGTATCTTAGATTATTTATCCTAGAAGAACATATAAAAAGAAATGCAGGCATTTCAAACGACGAAATCATTGATAATCTTACAAAAACAATGACACAGTATGAACATGATATAGATATTTTAAAAAAGAACTTAGCTAAACAAGACTCCGCTGACGCAAAAGACGTGTTAACAGCTGAGAAAGTATTTCTTCAAGTTGGTAATCTATATCGCTTACCTATTAATGGACAACAATTTCGTGACCAAATTGATATTTTGAAATTCGTTGAAGCACAAGGAGTAAAAGCAAGAGAAAAGCATATTAAATTGCCACAAAAAGCTGCTACGTCAAGAATCATGCATATATCGAATGATGTCACGTCATCACGAAGATAATGACTATAATAGACTATCAAAGTAAAATTAATCAAACATAAAACTCTTGTGTGTAGAACTTTTAATCAATCAAGAATGAACAAAATAATAAAGTATACTGAATACATATGCAAATGAAAGAATGTTTGTATACTGAGCATTGAAATGTGTTAAAATAAAATTTTATAATTATTTCAATGTTTAATAGAAATCACTTTCATTCGAGAAACATGATTCCCTCATTTCAAGAAGGAACTGTGTTTTTCAAATGAAAATTTCAAAGGCATCTAATACATGTAAGATGTATTCACGAGTTAAATTTCAAGTTAATTTTCATTTTCAACAAGAATCCTCAAAAATGAAAATGACTGGTAAATTTCCAAGGATAAGATCTCTGAAAAAGCATGAACCAAGTTTTTCATTTCCTAGAATTTTCAAATAGAATTCTGCTTCAATTACACAGAATGATAAAAGAAACCATTGCAGACAAAATGAAAATATCTTTCAGCTCTTTATGCCATTTTTTGATCGAGATACATCAATCTTATGGAAGGCACAAAAATGATATTTCCATACGAAATAAAAAAAAGCAAAACTTTTGTATCTTTAATAAAGTTGATGTATTTTAATCAAACAAAAGTTGTAGAGTAAAGGAGAACTTCTCATTTTATAGAAAATTGTTTGCTCTATTATCTATTGTAATTTGAATTGAATTTTACTTGCAAATTTTAGGCCTGGAAATACTTGGTTTTTAGTTTTTCAAAGACTCTATCTTTGAATAATTAGCAATCATTTTCATCTTTCAAAAGTCTTGTTGGCAATAAAATTCTGTACACCTATTATCATTATGCAACATGAAGTTGGTTTTACTAGCAAATGAAAATGGTTGATACTATTAATTACTGAGTGAGATATAATGATTGCAAAATTTAGTATTTTTCAACTGTCTCACGAGGTAAGCTCTCTAAGTGTTAATCGTCGATAGAGCTCATATTTTGCCCATAAGTAAGACTTGACGAGACTAGCAGAAGGGCGGAAGAATTCCTTCCCATACGCTGTCCTTCTGAAGTTACGACCGTTTTACTGATTTTTTCGACCTCTGGCAATGATATTTATGGGGAAGCTCATCAATGGAATTTTGATCTGAAATTTTGTTCATGAATAGGTTTCATGGCCGCTAGAATGTTCTAAAACTTTCAGCTAAAATGAACGTTTCTCTCTCGAGATATTGAGTTTCCAAGAAGGTCGATTTTTTTTTGACCTTTGCCTTCGAAATATGATCGTTCCTTGGAAATTCAAAATCTTGAGAAAGAACTGTTCGTTTTAGCTGAAACTTTTAGGACATTCTAGTGACCATGAGACCTGTTTATGGATAAAATTTCGGATCCAAATTCTATTCTTGGGTTTCTCTATAAATATCATTGCCAGAGATCAAAAAAAACAGTAAAACGAGCGCAAATCCGGAAGAACAGCGTATGGGGACGAATCCTTTCGTATTTCTGCTAGTCTCATCGAGTCTTACTTATGGTCAAGATATAAGCTCTATCGACGATGAACACTTGAAGAGGTTCCCTCGTCAGCATAGATACCAATTCAAATAAAATAATATAAAAATCACGAATGTTCAAGGAAAATATGATCACTATCATTTTGTTCAACTGCATAAACTCTTCAAAAAAAAAGAACCGATTAATATTTTAGCATGCTATTTTTATTTCTTTCTTCAAATTTTCGGATGTTTTAATCGTATAATAATCAATTTTTTTATTGAAATTATTTGAGATAGAATAATCTAATAGACTCAAATCTGGTGAGTAAGAAGGTCAAGTATAAACAACTTGAAGTTCTTTTTGTACCATTCTTACGATCTTTCATTGGTATAGTAACTATTCATCACGATATATTATGCAAAATTATCAATATCATTTTCAGTCTTATAAAATCAATATTATACGATTCATTTGTGTTGAAATATCTGCGAAATACTACATGTTGTAACTATCATGCATCATCCATTAAATTAGGATTTTATTCATGACATTGAATGATGAATATAAGTAATTACGTTCGTTTATAGTTATTATGTGACATGTGCTTATATCATCAATAATGATTCATTTACCTTGATAGTCATGACAAGTATGAGTCATAAGAAAAAAAAAAGGAAAGCGTCCGCACTCTCTTTTCAAATATAAATCGACAAAATCACGAAAAACAATATTGTTGTGATTCATATGAACGTAACACTTCTTCCTCTTTTTGATATAATAACGATTATCATAATTCTTGGTTTTGTCCAACAAACATTCATATTTGAAGTTGGTTTTCGAAAACAAAACAACATAATAATAGGAAGTAAATTAAATGTTGAGAATGCATATAGCGGATAGTACACATTACTTTATTACCAAGCACAACTCTAATAAAAATATAGAAAGTGTTGTCTTGGTTTGGTTGCATCTCGATGATAACATCAATATTGATTTTAAATATATAACGAAAATATTATATTTCGTTAATATTTATGCTATGGTTCGATATAAACTTGGATCATGTATAAATTTTATTAAAATCATTGATCTATGAAAATGTTTTTGATGTTGTTGTAGATAATGATTTATTTTATTTATCTATTGAAAATCAAAGTCAATTGATTGAAAAGCAACTAACCATTTTCAAAGTACCTGATCTTCGTCAACAAACAATTGGATTTCTATGGTTTCAGTTATTCAATGAAATTATTATAAATCTACGAGAAATTGAACTACTTAAATCATACATGATTAATACATATCGTCAATATTCTAAAAATAATTTTCAACAAAAACAATTAAAATATCATGAAGCTTTAGATGTCTTTTCAAATGATGTGAAAATTCAAGACAAAAATGTTGATCTTGTTGTAAGTAATCAAGAACAATATGACGAATTACTTAAGCATGCACTTAAATTAAAAGAAAAATACGTATCACTTAATCATCTAAGCATGATAGATGAATTAAGTAAGATCGGTGATAGTCTTTGTCAACAAAAGAAATTTGATGAAGCATTTGATTGTCACCATCGATCATTACAATTGAGAAATAAATATTATCCTTCGATTTACAATAATATAATTAATGGTTTGAATATTTTGGGTTATATACTTCGTCAGCAAAATAAATATGAAGAAGCATTAGATTTTTATCAACAAGCACTAAAAATTAGAGAAATATTCTATACTAGAGATAGTATCAATATTGCTACTAATCTTATGAATATTGGCGAACTTCTTTGCAAACAAGGAAAATATGATCGAGCTTTAGAATTTTATCAACGAGCATTAAAAATTCAAAAGCAAAATTATCCTTATGATCACATGTTGATTATTAATAGTCTTACAAACATTGGTCTTATTTTATATAAACAAGAAAAATATGATCAATCATTAAATTTTTTTCGACGTACTTTGGAAATGAGAGAACGATATTTTTCTTCTGATGATTCTGAAATTGTAGAAAATCTCAATATTATTGGTCATATTAACCATCATCAAAAGAAATATGATGAAGCTTTAATTTTCTTTCAACGAGCTCTTAAATTACAGGAAAATATTTATCTTTCTGAACATATTTCTATGATTGTGAATTTGGACAATATTGGTGCTATTTTTCGTGAGAAAGAACAATTTGATAAAGCTTTGGAATTTTATCGACGATCACTCAATATAAAAGAGATTTATTATTCATCTGATGATATAAATATCATTAAAAGTCTAGGCAATATTGCAAATATTTCATATGAAAATGGTGAATATGATGAAGCTTTAAAATACTTTCGACAAATACTCGAATTTCAACGTAAATACAATCCTTTTGATCATGTTAGTATTGCAAGTAGCTTAAATAATATTGGTCTTACTCTTTGTCATCAAGGAGATTTTGAAAAAGCTTTACTTTTATGTTCTGAAGCATTGAGAGTTCGGCAAAAATATCTGGCCGCAGAACATCTTGATATTGCTCAAACATTTCATAGTCTTGGTACTATTCATCATCGTCAAGGCAAATATGAAGAAGCTCTTAAATATTTTTATCAATCTCTACACATGAAAGAAAAATTATTTCCTTCGGATCATCTTAGTCATGTTGAAGATCTTCATAATATTGGTTTAATGTTCAGTTATTTAGAACAATATAATAATGCTTTAGCATTTCATCAAAAAGCACTTCGAATACAAGATAAATATTATCCATTGGGACATATAACTATTGCTATTAGTCTCAATTATATTGGTTTGATACTTTGTCAGCAAGAAGAATTCGCCGAAGCTTTTCAATTATGTACGAATGCTTTTGAAATGAGAAAGAAATATTATCCATCGGATCATAGAAAGATTTCTGATAGTCTTTATAGTATTGCTAAGATTCTTTATATGAAAAAAGACTATGATAGAGCTCTTGATTTCTCTAAAAAAGCTCTTGAAATAAGACAAAAACATTGTCCTTCTGGAAATATTGATATTGCTGAATGTTTTAACATTATTGGTATGATTTTGTATATGAAAGAAAATCTTAATAAAGCCTATAAAATGCAACAACAAGCTCTCAAAATTCAAGAAAAATTTTATCCACCGTCTCATCTAGATATTGCTATTACCTATGAAAATCTTGGTAAAATTTATTATAAACAAGAAATATATGATCAAGCAACAATGTTCTTTGAAAGAGCACTTAACATAAGAAAAACCTATTATACATATACGAATACAGCTGTTGGTGATATTCTTTTTTTCATGGGCTTAACATATCGTAAACAAAACGATATCGATCATGCTCTCGAAAATCTTGAACAAGCTCTTTCAATAAAAAAACAATATACATCAAATGACTTGCAATCTATAGCAACAATTCTTGAAGAATTGACCAAAATCTATACAGATAAAAGTAATTATCGTGATGCACTTCAATATGCTTGGGATTGTTTAAAAATACGTGAAAAGATTTTACCTCGAAATCATATTGATATTCATACAAGTTTTTATTTAATTGTTAGTTGTTATGCAAATCTTGAAAATGAAATTAATATAGCAAATGAATATGATCGACAAGTATCAGCAGTTTCGAAAGAAATTTTACCTATTGAAGATCCAGTGATTATAGAGATACCAGAGAAAAATATTCGCCATCGTCATCATCATCAAAAACCTACTCATTCATGGTTTTTGGACGCTCGAAACCGTATAGATAGATTGAAGAAGCGCGTGTTTTCTTCATAATTAATTATTATATTATTCGCTTCGGACGATTTTAAACAACAAAAACTATTTATATGTTATAGTTTAAAAACTACGTGTGTATGGCGTAATGAACTTTTTGATCATGTCGACTATTTGTCTTTGGTAGACTTAGAAAGTATTAACATTAACGAGTTCTTCTCCGCTTGATTATGTTATCGTTGTAATTTTTTCGTAATAGAACATTTTCTACTACTCATTTATTATCAACTTATTAGTTGATACTTTCAAACACTTCAGAATATTTTTTTTCGTTTTTTGTAAATATTTGTCTCATATTTGTTCAGATAATCACAGAACTTAATCGTTTGTATTGTTTCATTGCTGTTGAATGGGGGTGTGAGTGTAAGTGTTCTTATCATCTACACCCACGCCCACCAATACTAAAGAATATAGTCAATCGACAATCATTATTCAAACATTCATTGGATCTCCGATTAGGCAACTCATCCAGAACGAGGCAAAAGCATTAGATGATGATCGTCGTCAATGTGACTTACTGTTCTACTTGCTAAAGTATTGACTGCAAGCGTCTAATTGAAATTTCCAATTGAATAGCAATCGCACGATCGACGATGTTTCTAGAATGTGATAACATTATCAAATATCAATTTAAACATGTGTATAGATGGAGATGATGGTGATTCTCTTGATGCAAGCACATCCACATCCTCAGTATCAATTCTTATAATCACTCTGAAAACAAAAATTGCCGACGTCTCATGTTTTCCTAAAATATTTTTGATTGCTGAGAATATCAACACTGCAGTAAATTATAATCTATATGCATTCATCTCACTTTTACAAACGTTGGATTTCTTCCAGTCATATACTATTTATAAACAAAAAATATTCACATGCCAGGCCACTACCATTATTATTAACATGAAAAAGTGGAAATAAAGCGATGCTCTATAGTTTGTAGAATTTCCTTGGCCAAGCATGTGAGTCGTTGCTTCTATCGTAATGATTATAGTTGTTGTTGGAAACAGAAAAAAATCAACGCTTTGTATCCAATCGTACGATATCGACGTAGCAAAGCCAACTCGTTTGTTTACTATATCAAATACTGAATAATAACGATAGAGCAAGTAATCGCTTAAGATCCAGAAAAGATTGCCACGAGAATCTGTCATATTATCTGAAATGAAGACGCTAAAGCAAACGTAACCATTCAATCGGTCACGAACGATCAACAAATATTGTAGCGGTGTTAATGAAAATACTCTATCACCCATTATGAATGTAACATTAGGAAATCAAGATAGTGAATGAGTGTAGCAATCAACTATATACTTAAAGATTGAAAAGATTTAAATGATATTTTTTTCTGACAGATTAGCAAGAAAAAGACATACCAATCCACTAGTTGAATCGTAGGTATTACCTAGGGCAGTATTCAATGTAGTAATTTGAATTGTAGGTCCAATGATCAACGTTGTGCCGGTATCAACAATAGCATACACTGATGAACTTGCAATAGTTGATCCGACACTTACACTATTCAAATGAGAACCAAATTACAACGAAAAAATTGCTCAATAAACTGTTACCTAGTCATGAGGAATTCCCAATATCCTTCGATTGCGACAGGAATGTAAGCAATAGAACCAGTGTATTTGCTCGAGTCTGCACTACCGAATATGAGTTCGCCACCGGATTTCGCATTTGTATGACTGAAGAGAAAATTTATATGGGAGATATTTAAAACCACTCTTAGGACACTTACAGATTTAAATAGAAAGTAAAAATGGCTTCTGGAATGAGACCCTGAGACCACATGTTGTAGAAAAGTGGTTTCTCGATATCTTTTGCCAAATTCGGATAGGCAAGACCCAGAATACCATCATGAACATCACCATTCATACCTCTGAGAGATGTGCATTCAGCAAATGTTTGGTTTTGGACTGCAATTCCATTGATCTGAATCAAATAATCATTCAGTAATAAATTCTATGGAAATGAATGAATGTTCTCTTTTTTTTTTCTATAATTTTCTTCCAAGAATAAAAGCACTATTGAGCTACTTTGCTTTGTTCAGAGAAATAAATGAAAAGAAAAAAGTGACAGATTTACTAATCTTATGCTTCAAACTATGAACGATTCTCCACTATCTCAATAATGATACAATAATTTACTGTGATAGTATCAATACTGAAAAAACTAGATGCCGAAGAACCATCACCATCGGTGATTGAAAATATTTTTCCATTAGCCACATATGTCGTTGACTGTGTCGAAGTATACTTATTGAAACCAGCTAAAAAAACGAAAGATGATTCAGATCTATATATTTGAGCGAATTTCGATTACCTACTACAGGACGATCGACAGTTGCTTGATGGTACCCATAGAACGGAGGAACCTGTATCGAAATCGATAAGGAAATTTTGCGTTGGTGTTCCAGTTGATATCAATCCGATGAAATAAACCTATTAAGAAAAACAGTTTTCAAAGACTTACAATGAACAGATTATCAATGTGAGTATTTCTATACCAAAACTTTTGTTCATGTCTATATGTCGAGTTATTTGATCTTTCGAATATGCAGAAATAAGTCTTTTTTTCGGCTAATTAAATCAAATTATAATTGGAAAAATTATTTGTTACTTTCTATAAGATGAGCTTAGAGATGATAGACAGTCACTTACATCAGCTTCATTGATGAGATTTTCATAAATAGAAGATATTGTCAGAAAAACTTTGCCCAATTTACACGAAAATATTTCACAGGTCGTCATATTTGTTGGTGATATTGTACAATTTGTTTTAGTGAACGATTGTGGTTGAATGCGATGAATAGGAATTTTAACAATTCAGAATAAATTAATTCATGCATTGATTCAGTCTATCAAAAGAACTTATTGAAATACATCACTGCCAGCCGTAGCCTCCAAATTGCGAACAAAAATTAAGCCAATTAAGAAAAAAGTGTTCGCAATGTGGAACGCAAAAATAACGTTGCTCTTATTTTTATTCCATTTCCAAATTGCGAACACTTTCATTAATTAGTTATTGCAATAGCTGATTATGAGTTTAATTTCATTAATAATATAAATATAGAAGTTTGAGAATAAGAATGGTATCATTTCTTTTTATTTGATAAGTTAACACAAATTTGCCATTTGAATATATAATGATAAATGAGAATAATGATGAACGAAAATAAATAATAATATAATAATTTTTTTTCCCTGTTATTATTGTACTTTCTTACAAATAATAAAAATATTTAAAAACAGGAAAAAAATTATATTATTTTTTATTTTCGTTCATTATTATTCTCATATATTATCATACATTCAAATGACAAATTCGTATTGACTTGTCAAATAAAAAGAATTAAAACTATATTACTTAATTATAAAAAGTGTTCGCAATTTGGAAACGCAATAAAAATAAGATCAACGTTATATTCTGTGTTCCAAATTGCGAACACTTTTTTCTTAATTAGCTTAATTTCTGTTCGCAATTTGGACATAGCCCTGCCAGCCGTTTCATTGTATAAACCGATGACAATGAACATAACAAGTAATTCAATAGCCACTTTCGACATTAGTCTTTCCCTATTTGCTTACACGCACGAAGTATAAAACAAAACCTATGTACTAAGATCAAAAGCATATAAGTTTAATTATTAGAAATGAGATACGCAATAAGCAATAGAGTGATGTTGTGTGCAAAAATATCATAAAGAATAAACAGATTTCCTTTCTCATTATCACCCATTGTATCCGAATACATTATCATTTTACAAGAAATGCTCAGCAACGAGAATTTTTCTTGACGAGCCAAATCGCTACTATTGAGAAATATAATGAAAGAACAGACGAAGAAAACAACATAAGTTTTTCCTGACGTAGAAAAAAGTTAGTTAATGTGAATCAACAAGATAAAAACAATCGAGTGTTTCTGCACGTTCACATTTACAAGAAGAATGAAATGAATATATAAATAAAGTGGTTAGGAAGAAAAAAAACATAAGACACTTCTGTGTTATCTGGCATTCAACAGTCTATTGACGAAATAAAGAAAAACTCTTTGTTTCGTATTATTATTATTATTGTTTATTGTTCCACGATATTCAATGAGACTTCGCTCAATTATTTCGACCTGGAGAAACACTATTATAGTTCAAGAACGAAGATAATCCTAGTAACTTTGGATTTATACCAGTCAATAGGGCACATTATGAGACATTCACATAGGCAAGAAATCAGGTACTGACTTTAGTCAATGTTGGAGAGTTATTGAAAGATCACTGTGAATGTTCTGCACAAAACCGATATCTCTTAGCTGTAGCTTCTCAAACGAGATATTCTTAAAAATTATATACAGTTACTAAATTATTTAGATAGCTAATTTACGAGTGTGATAAATCCGTACATTTTTATTTTATATAGATGTTTGAAGTAAATATTACTTCACAGTTAATTGCAAGGTAAAGATCTTAGAGGAAAGCATTCAATCATATATTAAATTAGCACTGAGAATTATTAAAAAGTAACCATAATCAAACTAATTTACACCAAGAAATTAAACAGTAAATTTATTTCTATTATTCGTTAAAGAGTAATTATTATGTTAAACTGTCTTCGAACTGTATGTATATGCTAAATATTAAAAGTTGCTTTATACAAAGATTGTAACGTTTTTGAAAATGAGCCCTCTCTATCTTGTAATGTTCAAAATATCTAAGTGTGTTTCTGAGATTCTGGCATCGATCAGAGAAACTATAAACACTTTTAAGAAAATCTAAGTAAGATTATTTGACTGCATTACGCTCAATGATGATACTATTTTCAGTTTTAAAGTGAACTAAGTCTCATTTTCAAGATTCCTGAAATTCAAAAGCTCCAAATAATATGATAGCAAAATCTATATATCCTTTTAAGTGTACTTGAAAGTCGTCCAACTACTTTCGGCACTATCAAGAAAACACTCAAATATTCAAAATAGTATAAAATAGAGAGATCAGTTTTGTATAAATCGAAAGTTGCTGATTTCTTTGATCTATTGAGTATCTTTGAATAAAAATCATACAAGAAAAGATTAGTCACATACATAGTGTATTCTACCGACTAGTAAAAGCTACAAATCATTAGCGTTATTCATTCTCGAATTATTCAAAAGTACTATCGAGTCTCTTTATTGATTCGTGTTGTTTTTAATAGCAAAATCATCTTTCAAATTAGAAAACTATTGACACGTTTGTCATTAATATTCTCGTTTAAACTCAGTTGCGCTTGTACTGAACTGTTTCTTTCTTATTTTCTCAACGACTAAAACCTTTGAAAATTGCACAAAGTTCTTTTATTATTCATTACATTTGTACAAGCAATAAGCAACAAAAAGTGAAAGAAACGTGTAATCTAACTTACACGGTCATTTGCTGAAAACATCATGATTCAAGTTGGTTATATAACTGAGCCTGTTTGATGAAAGCTATCATACATCAATCATTCTAATCAATATTTCTTCAGAGAACCATTCGATCGAATTCTATTGATCTGAATCAAGCTACAGGAGGTGTACGCAAACATTCATATCTTTAACTTTCAATATTTTTACAAATGTAGACATCAACCATAAGTATGGTCTCGGTTAATTACAGTGTGCAATAGTGAGTGATTCATAATAAACAATTTCACAGAGCAATGGGCTGTGGTGGCATATTTAATAGTACAATTCAAAAGACCATTTTTAGTGCATAATTTATGTCATATTCGATTTGTAATTTGTAAAAGAAGTCAGTCTTTTTCTAAATGAAAACACTGATGTGACAAGCTGAAAATGTTGTATATGAAAACAGTGCCCTAGTCAAGTGTTCTTCAAGTATTGAGTCATTTCTCAGCTTAATACTTCTAAGAATTAAACAATCAAGGACAGTAAGAGTACAATATGTATAAGATGCTCAACAACAATCAATAATGAATGAATAAAATTTCCAGTGAACTATGCGATGTCAATAAATTTTGGCTTCAGAATTTACGATTTAAAGAAAAAAAGAAATATTTTTGTTGAATCTAATTATAAATACGCTGTAACTTCAATATGATTCTATTATCAACTAGACCGTACAACAGTTGATGATGAAATCATATCCCATTCGTAATTTTAGATATTCACATAATACTTTTTTGTCTTTGTCATACACTAAAATTGCTGAAAACAGATATGAAACACTATTTGAATATAATTATTGAGATATTGCTGCAGGTGAAGCAAATTTTTGTACACTGAAACGTGGCAAACTCTGCCGTGTAAGCCATTGTGATATGTCAATATTTCGAATATGTTCAATAACTTGAACAGCTTGCTCGACTGTTTCAAATGCTTTCTTACAAAGCTTTCCATTTTGTTTACGATATCGTTCACTGGTTAGTGAACATTGAATCCGCTCAATTTGTGTACTAATTGTATTGGCTGTTTCTTCACTTTTATTAAGATAATCAAGTAAGAATAAATTCGCATTTGCTAATTCCATGAGACCCACACTAATTTTTTCAAGAAACGCTAATGCTTTATATTGATGACGCGTCCAAAAACGATATACAAGTCCTGCAATAGTTACAATAAGTGTACCTCCAAGCAATGCACCACATATAATAGCTACAATCGGATTCAAACTTGCACCAGCTACAATAAGCATACCAGATCCGCCAAATTCTTTAATTGCAACTAATGTACCAACAGCACGTGCAACAATACCAGCTCCAGCTAAAGGACCAAGACAACTAAGAGCTTTTGATAGATGAATTCGTCCATGTACAGTTACACGTTGTTTTTGAACATTTGTTTTTAATTTAGTGATACGTTCAGTTAATTGTCGACTTTCTTGACCACTACTATGTGATAAATCGATCATTTGTTTCATACCTTTCAATAGACCATTCATAGCAATTTTAATATCATTTTGATCAACAGTTGTTAGAGTAGTTCCACTTGAATCGAATACATCGGTCAATACAGAAAGATGATCTTTAGCTTCAAACATATGAGGTAAAATCAAGCCCATTTTATGTTGTGTATCGATCACAAGTTTACCAAATATGTAAACAAGTTCTTCGAATTGATTGGCAATATCAGCAAATTCTTCGACTTCACGACGCATTGCATCAAGAAGATCAGCAATACTTTGTACGACTTTCGGTACACTACTTAAACGATTAGTAAAATTAGCTGATGAAAAATTTGTAGCCAATGTTAAAAATTTTGTAAAAAGTCGTGTATGTTCATCATTTTCCAATCCTTGCATTTGAACAACTTCTTCTAATTCTGCTTCGCTGAGTTGTGCTGCTTGTAATTGAGCCCACCGATTACGTGTAACAACATCATTTACTGTATTATCAATCTGATCGAAAAATTCTACACCAACTTCCTGTTCGTTTGCTCTGTAGGTATTCATCGATATTGCTGCCATATTGTTTGTAAATATCTATTGAACTTCAATAAAAAATACTATTCTGTAACACTCAAAATATATAATGTTTCTAATATATAAAGACTCGAAAGTAAAATGAGTAACCTAATGTGTCATTATGAAGCATTCTTCCATAATATGCTATGTTCTCGTGTTTTTCTTCGTTGTTTCTCTAGATGAAAGGCTGCGTAGGAGAACAGAACAAAAAATCACATTAATATATTCATTGAAATATTTTCTTCGTCCTCATTCATGAATCATTTTTTTTCATCGCATTCATCATTTTTGATTATTTGCAATGGTAACAGCTGTTTGTTCTTCTTCTCGCAATTAAGAACGTTTGTTTTTGCATAAGGCTTACAACGACTACATGTAAATTATTATTGCGCAAATTTCTCAAAAAGAAGTGAATCATTCTTACAATTTTTCTAGTAATAATTTAAAAGTTACAATGACTTAAATGATTCTCATGCATTTCACATAGGAATTTGAAACAGAAACATTTTAAACAGCAGAGGTACTTTTATTTCAATGGCAGTGCATAATAATCGATATAGACAGTTTTTTGGTGAATAGGGCAATGTTCGTTCGACTTTCTCCTTATCTACATAGACTAAAGCCTTGTATCACAATGTCTTCTTTAATAATGTCTAATTTTGATGTTGCCATGTACTGATTCAACATTGTTGGCAAAAGAAAAACTCGTGAAATTGATTCTATCGAAAAGTATTTTTTCTGAAAATACCTGTGCCTATTGTAGCATGTTGACAGAACAAATCATCAGCAGTGATGAGCAAAGATCAATTCGGTTTGAAAAAACAAATTTATGAATGATGCAATGTATGTATTACAAAAAGGCGGTTGATGCTGGTTATGTAGAAAACAGAGATCGAAACAAGTCTAGAGTATCACACTTTATTAAGAGGATTTCCAATGAACAAATGAATTAGTTAAATTTTTAGGTACTTCATATTCATTTTCTTTCATTATCATCTTTTGTCCTTGTTTAACGGCAACCATCTGCTCACATACCATTGGATATTTACTAATATCATTTATTCGTTGATAAATATAAGATAATTTGTTTAATTCTTTCATCGATTTCATTTCATTTATTTGTTCTTCATAGATACACTTAAGCTCATTCAATGCTTTTACCAACTCTGAATTCTTATGGTTTGTCTTTTGATTTTCACATATATCAACTTCTTGTTGAATCATTCGTAATAAACCAGACATCAATTGATCTTCGTTTGATGAATGAGCAACATGATATAGAAAATAAGAAAATTCAGCACTTGCATGGCATAACTCATACAACATATCATTCATTTGATTTCGATCATATATTGAAGGTTTATTTAAAAGTCTATACTCAAGTATGTGTCCAATAGAACGATGTTGATTGTATGGACATTGACAACTGTGACATTTCTTTTCGATTTTATGAGGAACATCATATGTAACTAAAAAGTTTCCAATTTCAACAACTTTATCTTTGCATGATAAGCAAATTGTGATGGAATGATCAAGAACTCTTGGATGTAATTCAATAGATGTTCTAGAAGAATTCATCTTGTACAAAATAAGATTTCGAAGAATATTTCGCATTGTTTCTAACATTGGACGAATTATATGATTGATTTCATATTGAGCATGCTTTATTGATTGTAAGTTACTGTCTATACGATAAATAGTGAGGTTTCTACGAATATAAGCAATAAGACGATTTGATTGAGTTACTGAAGTTGACCAACTCATTTCACAGACATGTTTTTCATCATCATCGAACTCAATTCCATTTTGTTGAACAATCAAACAGGGAAACCACTTACTATCGAAACAAAATGTATTCTCTTTTTTGAATGGAATATCACCCATGGAGAGAGAATTTAGCATATCATTGAGCAGTGGCGCAATATCTCCAGGAGTATAGAATGTTGATCGAGCATTAGTAAAACAAAAGATAATGTTGCTAAAAGCATTTGGATCTAAAAGAGAAAATAATTGAGTAAAACATGATCGAAAGGCGATATTCAGTCGTGATGCATTTGGTTTGAGAAGAAAACATATTGCATTGAGATGAGTAAGATTATTCACATATTCTAAAATATGTTCCATATTGAGATCATCTTGTTCAATACCTCGTGTATCACCAAAACCAGGTGTATCAATAATACGTAGCTTTCTTTGATCGCTGTCATTCAGATTAAATACATATGATTTACAATGTTGTGTAACAGCTTGGCCAGGATGATCAAAATCTTCATTGTTTGAGTCATCTATATCACCAAATTTAACGATACATTCGTCAAAGTTATCACCGACTGTCATAAGAAATGAAACAGGTATAAGTACTACAGGTTTGCTTGATTCAGCTTGTTTTAATGATGCAAATGTAAGATAATTGACAAAAGCATTAATGAAAGTCGATTTTCCAACGCCAGTTTCACCCAAAAGAAGAATATTTATAATGTCAGTGTCTGATGATGACGAATCAAAAGCTTGTGTTTCTGTAGGTAATGGAGCCGAAGTCTTTAGTTTTTTAGTTGTTTGAGTAGAAATATGCACTGCACTAGGAGGTAGGATAGAAGTTGGTGATTTTCCTTGTGATGATTCATTAGCTTGAGTTTTAGTAAATAATGAACGAACGATTGGTGTTGTGATCGCTGTTGGAACATTAGTCTCTAGTTTTGGTGGTGGTGACGCATGATTCTGTCTTTCTGTTGTTGGTGAAGTTGAGGTTTGTGGTTTTGCTTGCAATGGAGTGTTTGTTTGCGTTTTTTCGAATCGTGGATTGATAATTTGTGGTTTGATCGAAGTTGGAACAGAAGTGTCTACTTTTGTTGATGGTGAAACCTGAGTCTGTCTTTCTGTTGTTAATGAAAGAGAATTTTGTGCTTTTATCTGAGATGAAGTATAATTTTGCGTTTTTTTAAATAGTGAATCAGTATTTTGTGTATTTGTTAGTGCTTTTGTGAAAGATGAAGTACTGAATTGTGGTTCCTTCGATGATATTGTTGCTTGTTGTTTTGACTTATTCTGCTCATTTGTATACTTATTCGATGGTAACACCATCATGGTCTTTAGCTCAAAAGAGCAATAGGAAAAATCTGCATAGGTAAGACGTAAGTTAGCATTGTTTTTAAGCTCCTCAAGTGCGTTATCGCGTAGCTCACGGAACTGTCTAGGTTTATGGTTGTTCAAAGTATCATTAGAACAGAGAATATAATCTCGTTGATCATCTATAACCAACTTACGTTCAATCGTCGTTTCATTATCTTTTTGATCTATATTATAGTCAGCGACGTTCAAATATCGAAATTGTTGTTGATCTAAGTTGCTGATCAAATATGCTTTGTTTTCTAAATCTTTTAAGTTTTGAATTAAATCACGAATCATGGTTTTGATTAATATTTGATTACTACGATTAAGTACTTGATCGATTGTTGGTATTAGACTTCGACCACTGCGCATCTCAGTTACTAGTTTTGCAAGACGTTCGATCTCATTTATAAATTTCTTGTTTAGATTCGATAATTGTTTTTGCACGTTAGAGAGTTGTTGTTTTAGCTGTCCATTTAATAGTTTTGATAGTTCCTGCTTAATAGATGTTTCTAATTTCGTAATGTTATCTCTTAATTGAAACATATTCTGCTCGATACTTTTGTTAAGGTCTGCAGGTAGAGAAATGAATGTAGCACTGTGCCCATTGTAAGCCGGATATAGCCATCTAATAGGTTGAAGTGTATATGATAATGGATAGTTGACAGTTTTGTTTTGGTTTTGTTTTAAATACCGACAAATATCATACAATCTGCGGATATTTTGTATGTCTGGCGTATTCGAGTAAGTTGTTGTGTGAAGAATGTTTTCTAACAGATTTTCATCGTCAGAAGTTAACTGGAAAGTGTTATCACCATCAAGTAACAAATTACGAATTCGATGAAAAACACGATCAATTTTTGAGATTAACTCACTTCTGGATGGTAATTGTAAAACTACAAGAACATCAATTCCTGTTTGGATACCAGTAATAATGTGAGTTGCAACAATTTGAAGTTTAGATGATTTATCGAAACTTTGAATATTTGATGTATCATTGGAAAGTTCTTCTTCTCGATCCAAAGAGTAATAGTAGAAAAACCAAGTATATTCATTTATTGGATAAGAATAATCAAGGAATGCAGATATTCCTGTCTTTTCTCGTAGGTTCAATAATAGACTCAATCGTAATTCATCTTCAAGACCAATTATTTTCAGAATACTTTGTTGTTGATCTTTACTAGCATTTATGACCATGCAATGTTTTGACTTATGCTCTTGACATCGTTTTCGTTTACTGTTCACATTTACTTTTAAGAGTATTTGATCCTTATATCCATCATAGAGCGAACCAAGACTTCCTGAACAGTCAACAGCCTTGCGATGTGTACCATATAATGTTTGTTCGTTTGAGCTGGCAGTGGTTGATCGTAGTGCCATACAAGTTGTGAATGAACGTTTCAAGCTAAAATTATAAAAAAAAAAGTAAATCGATTATATTTGGGACAAAACTAGATGAATTGAAACGTTTAGCGGTTTCCAGAGTAATGTAGAAATCTATGATTTGATACTGCGTATTTCGATTACACGAGATGTAATGCTTTCGTAGAATAAGATGGCTTGATAAGGTTTTAAGGAACACAAAGAGCTTGTCATTATAGAAAGAAATATTTGTTAATATCTTGATGTAACAAATTATACGTCAAAATTCAAACAATAAATAAGGTATGAGTTTAGATTTGTATAAGTAAAAGGGAGTCTATGACTTGAGTATGGAAGGAGATAATCGCAATCTCAAATGTTTGAGTTGTTTGAAATGTCAACTCCACTAATTCTTGGAACACAACAGTATCTTAAATGTACCTAGTCTATTTTCTCATCGGATCTTAAATCTCAAATTAGAGCAAGGCTATGAAAATTGTGGAAATTTCAGTTAGATCATGTGCTTCGATGTTTCATGGATGTGTTTAATGAAAATACGACATGTATAAGACCGTATTCGGGATCATACCTTGTCGTGCCGTACATATTTGATAACGGTCTGACAATCGAGTATCTGACTATTCACAATATAGGAAACATGGTCGTAACACTTTGTCTACCAAACGGAGAGAAAAATATCTTAAACGATCGTTTACGGCGAAAATTATGCATATCTTTTATTATCGTCTCGGATATTTCCAATCTCAAACGGAAGAGTTTTCCACGAAACTATCACTTTAAGACATGTTGTAAAACTTCAGTAAAAATTCAAGCATGTGTCGCACGAACTTTGAAGACATGTCATTTTGTAAGAAAAATGTTTTCTCTATAAATGTGTATATCGAACTTCATTGTCATCAATGAGCAATAATGAAAATATTCTCAAGAAACAAATTGGAAGAAAAAACAAATATTCAGTAACACATAATCAAATATTTTTCTATTATCAATTTGCATGATAGTTGATGAAAATCGATACAATTTATTCCTAACGATATAGTAACTAATAATATCGGTATACGATATACTTATACTTTTGTAAAGGTGACTCAATTTTATTTAGGACTCCTTTTTAATTTTGTTTCTATTCGTGAGAAATTACATCCAATCAAAAAAGTAAGGAAGACTCTTATGGTGACGATTAATTTAAATCCAAAAATTTTTTTATGGAAAACTGAGAAAAAAATTAATATAAAAAACTAAAATCTCTTCTCTAAAGTTAATAATCACTTGAAATTATAACAGATTATTTTTTTACATTACGTTATGTAGAGATGTCCATCTCCATGGCAATAAGTCAAATTAGGACTCCTACACTGTCAGCAATTGAAAAATTACGTGTGTAGTGTAGAAATCATAATTTAGCTTGTTGCCATAGAGATACCCATCTCTAATGTTATGTTAAAAATTATCATAGATTAAATCGATTTTTACACACTAGAATTCGTATGCTAATGATTTTACAAGAGATGAAACAAATATTTATATCATCGGAGAATTCTAAATATTGACAATGTATAACAATCATAAAATGTATATCTATATATAGTTATGTGTGTCTACCAACAAAGGACTTATTTTAAAATAAAGAAAGAGCTCACTGATCATATAAGTTCTATAATTTTTGAAAACAGAATAATCAAAATTATATTTATTTTAAAAAAATTGTTAGGGACGAAATATTCGAATGAATCAGTTCATTCAGTTTGTGAAATTTTCGTATGTTTTGATGCCTCCTACCTTGACAATAACAATATTTTTTTTCTACTTCTGTCTTTTGGTAGATTTAAAAATAAACCAACACCCTTTTTTAATGCTGTCATATGCTGAAGACTTTTTTCTCGTAGGTAATAAACAGAACAGAAAAATACAAAGGTATTCATGCTGACAATAACTCTTTATGGTTGTGAATGTGGGAGTGGTGGGTATGGAACAGATCTTCATTTCACACTCACCCGCATTCATTCTTGTTTAATCGCATTTCCACGCAGTTCGTTATCGAGATTTCGTGACAAAAATTCAAACTATCAGATCAATGAAAAAAAGAAGTTTTTCGATCATATCTCCGAGTGAATTGAAAGTGAAGTTTTGTAATGCCTCATCATACATGGAAGCAAACGGTTCGATTCTGCGTATTTTTTTACTGTATGTAAAGCTCTTGTCAACGACTTATTTGCTAGAAAAATGCTTGCATTTTACTTCTGTATGATCGAAAACTTGCTGCTATACGAGGTCTCTTCACGGTAACTTGCACAAAAAAATGACCAAAATGTTGACTGATTTTCGCTAGCGTGCCGTTCCTCACAATCGAGAACAATCATTCGTTCTGTCGCAATAGAACACATTTCGTTTTTGTCTGCATCCACTGGCATTAATTTGTCAATTTCAAGATAATCAGATAGCAAAGTCAAAGATAATAGCTCTTCACTGTCATGACACAAGTGAAAAGCATGAATCTGGCAGCTAAGAACGCAAACATAAAAGAGTGATCACTTCGATCAATCTATCGAATCGAGGACTAAAAGGAAGTCAAAACTATGTTTTGTGGATTAATTCGATCTCGTTTCCAATGAGCTTTTGTCGATTACTCTGCGATCGAAATCAAATATTTTGTGTTGAATAATTTCGTATAGTGTTGAAATCTGTTGATGTGAACGAGCTACTGACAATTGTTTTAATAATCTCGATGTCAATACTCAATTATTTCTTCCTTGTGTTTTGTGAATAAAAGTCTTACGCACAAAGTCGTTACTCTCGACGAACAGGCCAAAGAATAGAAACATTGTACAGAAATCTCGTCAGTCCAGACAAATGAAGAGTTACTTCGGGATAAAATAAAAGGTGTGCAGTCTATGTGCAGAAAGAACTCAAATTTTCCTGTAGTTCTGGTGGGGATTCATTAGCATGGAAAACTATAGAAATATTGTCGGATTCGACCAGATGTCTTTCTGCAATTGAATCTTTTTGTCGAATAAACAAAAACGTTCGCAACACTGTAAGTGTATGTACATTTGAGAAATTTGAGAGAACAAGCAGTGTCTACTTTATTCAGCACAATAGCGCAAACTACATTGTGGTGGAGAAACAAGCAAATAGACGTAAAAGCCATTGCAGTTGGTAACGGAAATTGTGCTAGACCAGTAGCAAATGTTGTTTGACCAGTTGTAACAGACGACTCCTGTCGTGGTTGAACCAACAGTCGATGGTAAAGCGCTAACATACCAACCTGTGGCAGAAGTTCCGCACCGATTAGTTTGAGGAGTACTTGTAGCTAATTGAGTTGCGCCGCCACCTGAAAAACGTACCCAAATATCTATTCACATATGCAAGAGATTGGTTGAAATATCGTTCCTTCTAAGAAAAAAGCTCAGCTCGTGCTATATTTGAACAATATTTTGCTGGTGTAGAATAAGTACTGACATCACATCCGGATGTACTAGCAATATACGTTGTAAGGCGAGTTGCATCTGTGTCGAGTGTGTAGTTAGAACATTGATTGGGTAAGTAGACAGTTGCTATAAATAAGGCATGTTTTTTATTTAATAAATTAAAGA